AATCAATGTAAAGAGGTAGAAGAGAATAGATCTGCTAAGAAAAAAAAGCCATTGGCTCACTAATAATAAGAGCGAAGGAGATTTGTGGTACGAAGGTGAAGGAATTGGGGATACAGAAAAGTTCACCGGCGGCGCGGACGCGAGCGCTTGCTGGTGACAAAATGACGTCGCAGCTGCGACAGGAAGGGCAAGTGGTCAGTGCCGCTCCCACTTCGTCCAAACAGTGCCAGGTATCTGGCACTATACAAACTTTTCCGAATTAATTCTGCTGCGAGAGAAATGTTTTTGTTATGTACAAATACCATCCACGCAATAGGAACTGGGGTTTTTTGAGAATGTGGAGAACTCGAGGCTTCCATACGCAAATCCAAGGAGTACACAGTCATGTTGAAGGTTTTAACCTGAGTCCGTGCTCAGAGTTGGACTCTTACTTGCTTCCACTTACTACTCAGTGATGCAAGAGTACGATATTCTCTCGGAGTACTCAATGTATTGAAGTAATGGTGGCAGAGCTAGCCCTTGCTCGCTCCCTCGCCGCCGCTGTGACGTCACCAACACGCGAACGCGTCCGCGCCGCCGGTGAGCCTTTCCGTGAAGCCAAGGAATTGTAAGCAATGGGCTGCTACAAAGAATTTTATTGTTCAACCGATTGAATGTAGTGAGCTCATTATGAGAACCTCATCCAGGAAAACTAACGAAACTGAACATTGGACTTCGATTTAAATCGGATCTTGCACATGGTAGTAAGTCATGAAAGAGGTCCATTTTATACAGGATGATTGACGTTGGTTTTGTATGAAGTTACGTATAAATTTTGAATCTTGAATGAGCCCAAGCATCTAACACATCGAGCAAATCTCTCGCACTCTCCTCGAAAATTCCCTCATCTCACATATAAAAGCACCCCATCTTTCCCATCATCTCTGACATACCCATACAACTTATATAGCAATGCTTTATGACTTTACCTGGAGCTGGCGGTGGAGCTCCAGCTTCGACTCCTTCAGCAGTTGCCTCATCGTATTCATCTTCATCGTCGGACTCGCTCACGTGAATCGACACCTGCGAACCACAATACTCGTATTCAATTACTAGGTGACTGGGGCAAATAGCTTGTCAACCATTTGTACCTGATTACTGTCGGCAATAGTCCACTCAAAATAGACACCAAAGCCAATGTCATAGTAGTCGGTGGCGAACTCCCAAAATAGGCATGTTCCATCCTCATGAGTGGGAACTCGAACCTTAACGCAAACAAGAAGATGAAAAGTGTAAGTAATTAGACATAAAGTGATGAATAGAAACAGTTGAAATATTCCTTCTTGTAACTTTTTGACAACAAACTTCATCAGCATGAGAGAAGCTCACAGCAATAGAGATTAAAAAAATAGATTGAGCCCTTGACGACAACGGCCTTTTTCACCAAGTGCTTGAGTGGGACAACACCATTCTTTTAGCAGGCCCACCATTGGGTGACATTGTCTAGGATACAGTTCTTCTATCGAGTCTAGCGAACATCAGAAATGCATGATATACAGGCGGGGGGCGGGGGGGGAGGCCATATGAAAAAGATTAACTCAAAATCCCATCTAAAGATTCCAATGGATAACTTAGTACTGTGTTTGCACAACTCGTAATCACGTGCTAACGCAAGTAGAAATAGGCGCGGAGACGAAGAGTATGAGGCAAAGAGAGCGTCAGCTAACGAAAGGGTGTCCAGACAAACAACGCCTGACGAAAAAAAAATGAAAGCTGAAGCAGGTTACTTTTCAAGGCATTAGCGCCCTTACCGGTTGATTCCCGCGCAGTGATTGGTGGGTCTATCCTACAGACCGAAGGGTTGTTCACATAACTTCTGCCTGGGTTGAGCCTTCAAAACTAAATGATCACAGAAGCGGAATGATACCAACTGAAAATTGACCACGAGTACATGGTCCACAGTTCACAGCTTAGCTTAACGTGGCCCTCGACGGATAGTGGGGTAGTTCACGTTATCCAGAACGCATTTCAAAAGCAGTCTAGCATAGTCTCTATGTCTCTAGGAAGTATCCGCTAATTGATCGTCCGTAAAGGAATTATGTAGCAGCTTAACGGAAAGCGATGTGGTAAGTCTCCTTGAGTTCGATGGTGACGGCAGATGTCGTTGTATCCTGAAGACGAGTGAAGGACATTGGAATGCATGCAACGCTTACGAGGGGATCCTTAAAGCGAGGGATTACGATAAGTTTGGACTGGGTTCATAGTGGAAGTGGAGATGCTGAATAATGCCCCAGTGGCGAAAAAAGCAAAGAAATCCGTCAAGAAGGCGCAAAATGGGACCCCTTTCTTTGCCCGTTGACCTCCGATAATGGACGAGCTAGCAACCAATTAGGAGGTCGTTTGCACATGTTATGCTGATAGCCTCTATCATTTCAGCAAGCATCATGCTTTGATTGATCACGCATCCCATGAAAAGTTATAGGATACACTCTGGAAGTGGAATATCTCGTCACATTGGCAATCGAAGGGCGCTGCTGCTGGGGGCGGAGCACAGACCGTGGCGGGGCTCAGAAAGGAATGGCAAGCCTTGTACGCCTA